TCTTCTGTGCTGCGCCTCAGGACAAGGTTTATGGTCCCTTTTTCTTTGAAGGAAACACTGTTACAGGACAAACCTATCTCGATATGCTCCAAAACTGGCTCTTCACTTCACTGCAAGCAGATTCGCATGACTTCATTTTCCAACAAGATGGAGGACCGCCCCACTGGTACCTGATGGTCTNGTGCCCCAGCAATTGATTGGCCAGAAGGGGGCCAAAGACCGTGCTCTTTGCTCTTTGTGCTTGTCCTGCGAGATCCCCAGACCTCACCGTGTGTGATTTCTTCTTGTGGGGATATGTAAAAGATCACGTTTATGTTCCACCGCTACCCACTAACCTCGATGACCTTAAACATCGAATAACAACAGTGATTAACTCAGTGCATCGTGATATGCTGATACACGCCTGGGAGGAATTCTCTTATCGCATGGATGTTGCCCGTGCTGCAGGTGGTGGCCACACTGAACATTTGTAAGACAGGAAATAAAAGTTGATTGTGAGTAAAATACTTGTGACTTGGCTGGAGTTTTGTATTACTTTCCTTTAATAAAATATTGCATAATAAAATCGTTCATTCTTTTTGAATAACCCTGTACTATTAAAGAATGAAAGACTGTAATACTGTGTATCAACCTACCTGGCCTCTGCATGTCTCAACAGTACTGAAGCAGTCAATTTTTAAGATCTAGCCTGTGAAGCAGCGTTAACTAACTCCAATGGCAACTGGTGATGAAACTAACAGATCACAAAGGGGATTTATAGCTTAATATGGAATACAACTATGACAGTGATGCAGCATTCCTAATATTCACAAATTCTTTTGTTGTAGGACAGAGGTAAGAGAAAGGGTAACAAATAGCTACATCTAATCTGGATGACTTCACACCCAAGACCTTCAATCATGGAAGTCAATGCCTTACTCCTTCAAATATATCTCCCCTGAAAAAATATGGTGAAAAGACCAGACATACCTACAATGTAGGGATGTGTTGTTCTCCAAACAAGAGGTCTGAACTTCATGATGGAGATAAACCTGCCCAAATTCTTAACTTCATTACGAAGATATTCTCCATGCAGCAGCCCTGAGAGATAGAATAGCTTGGCTCCTGCATACACCTCAGTCCAGAAGCGGTGCTTCAGTGTTTTCTTGGTTTTCTTCAGCTGTTTGTTGTTTTTCAGCATGTCCAAGTGAGTCAACACTCCCATTACTCTTGGCATTCCATGAACCTGAAAAAGACCACAAAAGATACAAACAGAATCAGTTGGTATGTTTATACATTTCTAGACATGTCTGCATCACCACACCACATCATATTACATGTGCCTGTCTTCAACAATTCAATTATTTTCACTAACATAGGGTCAAGTTGCCCAAATATAAATGTATTGAAAAGGTTCTACAGTATCAGGATAGTGTATAACCTGTGCATCACGGAAGGGCCTCCTCTGTAATATGAACAAATGCTGGCTTAATTCACTGATCATGAATGGCATTATCATATGTTTGTATAAAATACTACAAGACCACAAAATTCAAAAGAAAATGCCTACAGAATGGAATAATTATTTACTCACAGTGGCATCTGTTAGGTCCTGCATGCAGGGTAACAACTGTATTGTTCCATCAGCTTTACCTGACAAATGTTGAGGAATTCAAAGATTTCCATTTCAAAACCAAATGAAGCATCAACCAAAAGCAGAACCAGGTCTGCAATTTTTGCAATATCAATCATGCTGTTTATGTCATTGCAGCACTCCATTAGTGTTATGCGCCTCTTCTTGCCTGGAAGTCACATACATAACAATATGATGAAATAAATGAAGAATTTTTACACTACAAGTTTCTGTTATAGTAAATAATGTCAAGCAATACTACAAAACTTAGATACAAAAATTCCCTGTGTCTATGTTCTAAACCATTAAAGTGTTTACGGAGAGTTGAGGTAAAGCTATGTGAATTCTTAATCCCAGGACTATCTGGATACTTCATCCCTGACAAAGACCCTGGTACCCCTCAAGCTGGAGACTGGGTGTGACCTGATGCCAGTACAGAAAATCCTTTCCCTCACCAGGAAACAAATCCCAGTTATGCAGTCTGAGCTGAATATTATTTGACAAAGCCATCTTGGCTTGAATGAGCCCAGTCAAGTGCTAAGTCAGAGATGAAACCCTTCAAGAAAACAGTTGTTATAATGTGACAGCTGGTTGGGCCTTCCATGAAGTGCAATTTACTAGTTTCATATATTCTTTGCAATGATGTGTATCAAACGCAATCCCTGGAAATGTAACTTACGTTTATATTAAGTATAACATTTGTACTATTTTTTAGCATTGTGAAGAATTTAATTTTTGGCTCTATACAGTATATTGTTGATTACCTTATTTGTGCCTGTAATATAAGAACAACAAAGAGGAATACACGATCACAGAAAATCAACTTGAATAACAGATACACTCCAAAAATGGAGTACACTCTTCCTCTCAATCTTCTGTGATACAGTCACAAACATTATTCACTGAAATTTACATATACCTCTGGTGAAATGCAATCATTTGATAAACTTAAGAACTAACCTGAAACAAGAGTAATTGGTCCTTTTAAGCTTGTCATTGGTTGTCTGGTGAAAGTCTTGATCAAACATTGGATAAGAGTTGTTTTACCAACTTTTGGAGGTCCAACCACTGCAACAATAACAGGCGGTGGCTCCACTGGCGTCCGATCAACTAACGGAATATGCTGCTTCTTGGTTTCAATATCCTGCTTCCTGGATGAAAATTTGTACTGTTAACCTAGTATTCCTGTTCATTATATAAAGTTCAATGCATACATGAAAGCAGGAAGTTTAAATATGAAACTGGGTAATATTACATTTTAGCACTCTGCTGTGATGTGATAAATTAATAGTACTATTTCAGTTCTTTGTTTTTGCAAGTTTTTTCTTTAAGTTCAGAGGCACTGTGGTTTATATTCACACTGTCACTAAGAATGAAATTATAATATTATTTTAAACTTAACAATTAAAATTAAGTTCAGTTTTACTCCTCCATAACATATCAGTTTGTCAAATTAGACGCTGTCTTACTTTCAACGAGTATACTGTATTAAACACTACAGACTACAGGAATTTGCAACGGAAAAAAAAGTGACTCATGATTAGACCCACTGGTAACTTTGTTGAAGATAGTGCTCTTGAATCTTTGGGTTCTATCAACCCACTGAGTACTAATAATAAGCTTACATACTGGGCACTATGAAAGACAAAAGAGCTATAATGTAACCCTGGTCCCACGTTTGGCTACACAAGAAGGGATCAGCTCCATGAGTGAGTGAGTGAGGGTTCCACCTTTTCCAGTCTTATCTGGCCCTTAAATATAACTATCAGGTTAGGCTGCACTCAAGACTTCAGAACAGCGGCATGAAAGCTTACAGGGGATTTGATTTATATCTCCATGCATTCTTCATCTCGGTACTAGATGGAAATGGGTGGTCAGATTCACACCCCAGCCACTTTACTTGGGGAAAGAGCCCTGGGTATCCACTTATAAGAGCCTTGGTGGGTTCCAGAGCTGGACTGCATGCTGTGAAGAATGGAAAAATATTTTGCCCCTACTAGGAATTAAAACATGATTTCTTGATCATCAGCCCATAGCCAAGCCATCTCAAATACAGTAAACACCCATGAAGCTGTATCGTGAAACAGATGGGTTAAAATATATTTTAAGAGTGTTATTCTGGAGAATGTGAAATGTTTTAAATATTTGGGTAGCTTGTTATCAGATGATGGAAGGTGTACGTGTGAAATTAAATCCAGGATTGCCATGGCAAAAGCTGCATTTAGCAAGAAGAAGAATCTTTTTACCAGCAAATTTGACTTAAATTTGAGGAAGAAACTAGTGAAATGCTACATTTGGAGCATAGCTCTGTATGGGGCTGAAACATGGACACTTAGGGCAGTAGATCAGAAACATCTGGAAAGTTTCGAAATGTGGTGTTGGAGAAGGATGGAGNTCGCATTAAGTGAAGGAATTGTTTTGGAAGAGACTGTGGACCTGTCGTCTGACAGATTACTGATGATGATGATGATGATGATGATGATGATGATTCTGCATTGTTTCGGGATCTCTCTGTTCCATAATATTACTGTAATAATTTTATATAATTCAGAACTATTTTTTTATTCTTCTATTGAACTCTCCATTGATTATCCCATCTGAATTTGTTCACATCTCAAGTAACTAAAATTTGTCCACCTCAGTAACATCTTTAACACACCAGAGGCCAACTGAGCCAATACCACGGGTGATGCTAATATCAAATACAGAACTTCCAGTTGGGTGGTTGCACAATACTGTCACAGAGCTTGAGATAGCCCAACAAGAATCCCCATAAATGATGGTAATGGGGCTTCAGTGAGGATGTGACATGCCCAGCAAGCAGAAAGTGGTTATAAATGATTCCAAAATAACAAAGAGCCATAGAAGAAATGAACACAACGTAGTTAACTTATGAATATGGAGAACTGGTGGAATGATGACTGGCATGGGAAAACTGAAATAAATGGTAAAACCTTCCCCAGAATCTCTTGGTCCACCACAATTCCACATAGACTGCTCTGCTGTTGGACCAAATTTTCCGTGGCAAGAAGCTTCCTCAATATGATGCTAAACACTCACCCACAGCTGGTTCTTTTGAGTTTTTTAAATTACGTAACGATTGTAGAACAAAAATTTACCTCCTGAATCTGCGTTCAGCTCGTACTGCTGAGTTGAAAGTGAAAGCTTTTGGATTTTTTTGTCTATCTGTTAACTCCTGGACATGCACACTTTTGGCCTTCTTCTTCTCAGCTTTGCGACCTGCAAAAGCAAAATCCTCCAAGTGTGGTGCATTGATTCATACTTCATTGCGTTATTTAGTATCTAATTATGTGGGAAGATAATCATGAATGATGAGTGGGTAAGGATTTAGAAAGAGGCAGTTATAATCTATTTCAAGGTACCACCGGCATTGAGATGAGGCTGGAAAAAAAAAAAAGATGAGGAACTCTAACAGATATTTTATTTGTATTATATATATAAAGCACTTCAGTGTGTTTCCACTCCTTGCCAGTTGCAACAGGAATGTCAAATATGCCTTTTCAGTAACCGTCAACAAGTCAGAGGGACAGACTTCTGACAGAATTGTGGTAGTTGTTTTATTGGGAGCTTTGTGTAATCACCGTGTTAGCCATCCTTCTGCACCCTCGTAGTTGATAGGGTGCCGCTGCGTGGTGTGTGAACCAGACTGAGGTGCTTGGGGTAGAAAGGGGATGATGTTCAGGGTTGAGCAATGAGATTATCTCCTCATGGATTAACGGGCCTTGCTTCAATGGACGGGGTTTTCTTGGTGAAGAAGTCTCTGGATCACAACTTGATATTAATGATACACTTCTTTATTAACAGCACTACACGGTTACAAACAGCAGTCACTTGCAGTTACAGTTGCACTTCTGTCACTCACTGTACAATACTTTAAGATTCATAACACTATGTTACAGTATGGTGGATGAGGTACGTCACTCACTGGCTGCCCAACTGATCGGCCATGGTCCTAATGCTCTGCTCCGATTTACCGAGTGTTTATCTGTTACTTATCCATTACTTGTCTGTCTCTGCCATCCCGGATCAATCCTTAAATACAGTGGGATTATGTGACATCTAGAAGCTTCTGTTTCCAGATCATTCTTGAAGCATCTTCTACTGTTTCATACTTCGAGAACATTCTGGAAGTTTCTTTTATCAGACTGGCAGTGGGATGGGTAACCATTCGCATACCACACCGGCTATTATAGAACTTTCGAGTAGGCTTTTATCAGTATATTGCTCATCATGAACTCTTAGAACAGTTAATACAAGACTAGGCATAAGTTACATTTAGTATAAAATTGGTACTAAGTAACAAATATAAATTTCTGAAATTTATGTCGGTAGGTAATGACTGGTTACAGAATCTACCCATACCTTCTGAGACTGAAGTCACAGGCATTGCTCCCTCATGAGTTCAATCACTGCCATCACTAAGTGTTGTATTTAAGATGAATGGCATTGTTAATGGTGTTTAAAATGAAGTATATTAATAAATAAACTGATATTTAATTAATAACCTTGAATATCTGCTACAATGGTATATGTTACATCTGGTGTAGCTAGTACAACATTATATTCTTAAAAAATAAGATGTATATTATATACTTATTTATATTTATAATATATGTATATACCATGTTCTACACTTCTGACTTAATCCTATAAAGGATCTTGGGAATGAAAAATTCTAATTCTAAATCTGATTCTAAAACAACACAGTGAGGACAGCTAGTTAGGGCTATTGAATATCTTGACTGAGGTAGGATAGGAACAAGGTACCTCAAGAATTCAAGTCTAAGAACATTCTACTATAACAACATGCTTTATTACTGGGGCATAAATATATTTAAATAAGTCAGACTTCTTAATACTTTATCCATTCCCATAATATGTACTTCCTTATCATTTTGTAAAGGAATTTTATTTTCTCCACTTATGACCAATTTTGACCTCCCCAGCTGGCATCTCAACGATAGAATATGGTGACCATATGACCATGAACTAGAATAGGTCCCATTTCTGTCACAGATCATTTCTTCTTAGATAAGAATGTCTTCAATAAATTTCAAACCCATTCTGCAATAAATGGGTTTTCAGACCATGATGGGCAAATCTTAGTACTCAAAAATTTACAGGTGACAAGGAAAAGGGACCATGTAAGAGCATTTAGGGATATCAATGATGAGAACATAGCATATTTCCAACGGGCATTACAAAACGAAAACTGGGAAGCAGTTTATGATCAAGAGAACGTTAATATGAAATTTAATAAATTTCATAATACCTTCTTTACAATTTTAGAAAATAGCTTCTCCCTGGTGTACAAAAAGAAAGACACCAACAAATGGATAACCAATGGTATATGAACATCTTGTAATCATAAAAGAGCTTTATACAATTTAGTTAAAAAATCAAAGGATAAAAGATTTGAATCATACTATAAAAAGTACTGCATGACATTAACGAACATAATAAGAGCTATGAAACTGTACTACCAAAAACTCAGAAAACAAAATACAATTAACCTGGAAGATTATTAATAAAGAAACTGGGAAAAGGAGGGGCCCAGATAATATAACCGAATTGAAAGTGGGGAATAGCAAAGTAACTAATACTAAGGAAGTAGTAGAAGCATCCAATAAATACTTTATAACTGTAGCTGAGAATCTGGACACGAAAAGTGCCAATAAAAATGAAGCTATTAAATTCTTAGACACTTTGAAATTTGATAAATTCCCTGAACTGAAGCTAATACCTACAACGGAGGTGGAAATAAAGAGCATATTTATGTTGCAAAAATCAAAAGATTCTACAGGATATGATGACATTTCTAGTAAGATATTGAAATATTGTATAACTGAGATAAGTAAACCATTGTCTCACATATTTAATGCATCTTTTGAGCATGGAATATATCCTGATAGAATGAAATTTGCCTTATTAAGACCTATATACAAAACAAGTGAGAAGGCAATTATGGCAAACTATAGACCAATATCATTGCTAATAAGTTTTTCTACGATTTTTGAAAGAGTGGTGTACAATAGGATAAAGCAACACATACATACAAACAATTTAATATCTTTTGCACAGTTTGGATTTAGAGAAAACAGTAACACAAAAATGGCAATATATACATTAACTAATCATATTTCAGAAACGTTGGAAAGATGCAATCATTCATTAGGATTTTTTTGTGATCTGACAAAAGCATCTGACTGTGTGAGTCATGATATTCTTTCGAATAAATTAGCAACATACGGCAATGGTGGTAAAATAAAATATGGCTGAAGTCCTATCTGGAAAATAGAAGACAAAGAGTTGAACTTTATAATAATCAGAATGGAAAATGCTGTTCAGACTGGGGAACTGTCAAATATGGAGTACCACAGGGCTCGATTTTGGGTCCTTTGTTGTTTCTTTTATATATTAATGACCTGCCGTCAGCATTAAGTACTGACAACAAGTCACTGTTGTATGCTGATGATGCAAGTATATTAGTGTCGGGTATTAATATCGATGAAATTCAAGAAAGGTCTAAACTTATGTTAAATTCCTTAAGTCAGTGGTTTAAATACAATGGCTTATCCCTATACTTGAGGAAAAGTAAAGTGTTAAAATTTGAAACAATCAATCATGACAATATGCCTGTACATTTGAAGTTTAACGATGAATTATTACAAGAGGAAATTCATATTATATTTTTGGGCATTGAAATTGGTAAGTTCTTGAATTGGAAAACACAGGTTGAATCACTGTTACCCAGATTGGGAAAGGCATGTTATGCAATACGAATTATGAAAACATACAGTAATGTTACAACACTTTAAATGATATATCATGCATACTTTCATTCACTCATGAGATATGGAATAGTTTTTTGGGGTAATTCGTCAGAGGCCAAGAAGATCTTTCTCTTACAAAAGAAGACTATTAGAATAATAATGGGGATGAAACAGAGAGAGTCATGTAGGCCAGCATTTATAAAGTTAAATATATTAACACTGGTCTCTCAATATATTTTATCTTTGATGACTTTTATGATAAATAACTTGGAGTATTTTACTTCTAATTATTAAATTTATGAGAGACCGACAAGACACGAAAGAAATTTACATGTCCTACCATCACATCTCGCAATGAGCCAGAAAGGGGTCCATTGCATGAGTACAAAAATATTTAACAGTCTGCCTGATTATTTAACTGATTTAGTACATGATAAAAAACAGTTTATAAAAGAAATAAGGGATGTCCTAATACATAATCCATCATATACTGTTGATGAATTTTTGGTCTTCTGTCAGGATCAACAGCTAAGGAATAGAAGGGGAGTGCATGCTGACTGATGGATGTCCCACAGTAGGCATCAATATAGACATTAAGTGTAAATATAATCTGTATTTTATGTATTTATTTAGATGCACAGTGTTTGCATTTATGTTTGTTTGTTATTGTGATATGGCATGTTGGAATTGTAAAGATGTATTGCTGTTTGTAAAGCTTGTGACATGTTTCACATTCAATGCAGATTGCACTTATGAATATCTTGAAACGCAGATGTATGTAACTTGAACCTCTTTACTATGAACTAACACAAACTTAATTACCACCTAATACCTCACAAATTACATGCTTTATTTATGCTTACTAGATCAAAAGAAAATGTAACATAAATTACATTATAGAATATGAAATGACATGAATTGAAGTAAGATATCAGACAGCAGTACAGAAGTCACATTTCTGACATGGCCTCTGAGATGTATGTCATAAATAGCAGGGCAGTGGTTGCAGTTGCATTGCGGGGAGTGACACATTGTAACAAGGGTCCAGTTATAACCCATACACCCTCCAACTCTCATTTCAAATTATGGACTCAATGAAATCCACCGTATAATCTGCTGGGAATGGCCGGGTCCGAAAACATGAAGAGTACTACACTGGAATTAAATTTTTAATAATCTTCCATTCACCATTAAAACTACCTAAGCCAGTATTAAAAGATTATTTCTTATTATGTTTATCTAACTCTGTAGAAGAATTTACTTTCATTGAAAATTCTTCAGTAATGTAAATACTTATGAATATAATATTTTTTTACACAATTATCAATGTAATATATAATATTACAAAAAGCCTGTACATTTTTTGTTGGCCATTTAATGACGTTTTAATGATGCTATATGCAACAATTATGAATTCATATTTGAGTCAAGAGCATACATGTTCTGCAGCCTTGCTTTTGTCCTATGTAGGATCAATGGAATGTAAAAAATCACAATTCCAACCTAATCTGGCTGAACCTAATTTAGATTTATCACAAAAATATAAAAATAAGTCCACAATGAGAAAAAACATATACATTTTAACTTTGCTAGTACAACTACAAATACCTGTTGATAAACTGTATGACTGTCGAAAACTTCTGTGGAAGAGGCACAAGTAACTGGCAACCATATTGTGAAGACATAACTCAACTGCGTTTTTCAAACAGATCAGTACAACTACAGTATGTCATTCTGATGTTCATCGCAAATGAGATTGCACACAGCCCACAAAATAGAGATACTTGATGTCATTTTATCTTTTCACAGATATTTGTTTTGGTAGATGTTTGTTTCCACGGGGAAGTGTATAAAGTTAATTACAATTTACAACACTAAGCCGCTGTCATTTAACGTCAGTTTATACAAACAAAAATCATTTTCCCACCCATAAATATAACAATGGGTTGCAGAGAAAAGGTAAAGCAAAACTAAACCAAATTTAAATATGTAGCACTAGCATTTCATGCCCAGAAAGACAAAACGATAAGTTTACATATGGAATTAATGTAATGTATGGCCAGATACCTGAATGTCGGTCTCTGTGGGATTTCTTTTTCTGCAGCACATCGTCTTCTGCCATTTCTGGCATATTTTAGCAGCAGTTACCCGGTTTAATACATAACCTCATCAAAAACACAAAACTGCTTATAACATTGGTTGTCTTTTATTTCTCCATTGTCTCTTATTTCTCAGTAAGTTTATTAAGTTAACATCCTGCGAAAGTAGTGATTCTACCGAGTTGAAGAATATTTAAAACGTACAATCAGTGCACAGCATATGACTACACGTGACATTCACAACTTTCACAACCTCAAACTACTCCCCCCCCCCTCTTCCTCCATTACATTCACGGATAAGTAACTTCTTTGAACAGAATTCCCCTGTTGCTTCCCTCCAGGGACCACAACCAACTTCTAACCACTAATTTATGGATGACCTACAAACTGCGAATACCTGGATAAGTTTTGAATTTATCTTTACATGCTCCTTTGCATATCCAGAGAAGTATCAAAATATCAAAAGGAGTACCATAGTAATAGCACAGCACAAAGTCTGCACAGCAATCCATTTTGACCGTTCTTGTCAAGGTAACATTCTCACCGCTGCTCAAGAAGTCCCCACCCGCAATGGCACGTGAAGATACCTGCATTCCACAGCGACGGCCCGGGTTCGGTCAAGTGGGATTTGTGGTGGACAAAGTGGCGCTGGGGTGGGTTTTCTCCGAGCACTTCGGTTTCCCCTGCCAATCTTCATTCCACCAAATTCCCCATCACAATCAC